GCTGAAGCTGAGCCCCATGTCAACCCAGTGCAGGTACCAGAAAGCATCTAAATTCTCACTGTAGCACATGGTAGAACCCGCCTTGTTCCTTCACAGCCAAAAACCACCAGGGCCTTCGGCTGGCTGGAGAGCACCTTTTGCCTCAGGGGTCTCTCCAGTTTCAGTATCCCTCCCAAAAAAATCCTAGTACTATTAGAGACTCCAGCAGACAGAGGCTGGGATCTACAACTAGGCAAATCACAGCCATCTACTTATTCCTACCCACCTTTCTTAATCACCTTCAACACCTAAAAGGTCACCCTGTACATTTACTGATGGGCAACGCTCCTGAAACAGGGAAGAAGGCACACGAGGAACTCTGCACTCTTCAGGCCAAGAGGCGTGGATTTCTCTATAGCTTGTAGCTGCTCCTTTTGAAGTCACAATTCTGTTGGTACCAGGGCTGCATCTCTTGCTCGGAGGTCTATGTTAGCAGAGCAGCAGCAACGGGGGCTCTCTGGGACAAATCCCTCTGCTCAAAGGACAACTACCCACATCCAGTGTCCACCTGGCTCAGTTGTGAAACTACTGCACAGAGACCTCAGTCTCAACAGCGATAATCTGCCACCAGAGCCTAGTACCCAAGTTCCCTAAAGATACTTCTGACAGTCCCTGCGTTTCATTGCACATCCCCCTTCCCTCCAGTGAAACTGGAACATGGTGGGTGGGCAGAGAGGGGAGGTGTCAGGGTCCCACCAGAGACGGGTGGTCTAGAAGGTCTGAGCTGGGAGACACAAACATCTCCCACAACAGGGCAGAGCCACAGAGGCAATCTGAAAAGAGAGTTAACTTGGGAGAGGAGCAGGATTTTTGAGCAGGGGAGGTGGGAAGAAACTCCTTGCATTATGCCAAACTAAAAATGAATTATTCTGACCCCTTTACTGCAGTGGTTATCCAATGACCATTCAATATTTCCACCCTGGGCAAAGACATGTTTTCTGAGAAAGATTTACTATGTTAGCTTGGGCAATACTTCATAAGCTTATCTTACAGTGAAAACACACTTCAGCAACTGGGATCCAGTGAAACTGCATTATAATCTCAGTGTTTTCCTTTCAGCGATTATCTGACAAACCCAAACTGTAATAGTCTTACTTAAAAAAAAAAAATTTTAAAAAAATTAGGCACTAGATACAAAAAGCAACTCAAATTGGTTATGTTTTTACCAACAAAGTAGTTCCAGGATACTTGGAATTTGCCTCCCTCTGTACGAGATCACTTCAGGCAGCTTCAATACACACTCAAGATCTGCCTGACAGGCATTCCTAGGTCAAACTTTTTTTTTTTTTTAAACTCCCCCCAATTTCCTTTTACAATTAAATTACCATGACATTAAAAGGTGGCCAAAGTGGACTAAAAGTCATCAGACTAGAATTCTGATTACTTGTGACAGATCCAAAATTATTCTCATTAGGTTTGCATTGGTCACTGTGGAAATTTGCAATTCTGTCCAAAGAGAATACAATTAAAGATGCAATATCCACTTGAAAATGAAAATATATCGCAGTTTCAGATCTCAAAAACAACTCACTGGGAAAAAAAAAATATCTCTCTGGATGGAAAGAAACAAGTTTTTAAACAAAATAGTTCAATGTTTGCTACTTCAACTAGGAAAAAAAATCTACTTGAGAAGTTATTTGGCTTACTCTACGTGGGCATATTTACAAAGCCCATCAGAAGACACTATTGATGTGAAGCTTTTAAAAAAGAAAACACTGCTCTTCAGCTTAGAGCACAGATACCAGCACTTCTCTTTCAGTAGCAAAGTCTACTACATACTAATAAAGTAACAATGCTTCGGTTCTCTGATGTCTGCTTCCATAAGCAGTTTTCAGCATATTATCTTTTAGTACCAAATACATAAGGAAAGTGGTGTAAAACAAACCAGCTCGTTATAAATATCTCAAGGATTGTGTGTCACACTCAAAAAGGATGTGTTTTGGGAAGCTGTCTGTATCAACGCAAGAGACACATGGAAATGAAAACTCCCTTCAGCCAAAAAGCTGCCCAGACTGTCCCTGGATTACACTGTCGTGCTGCTATCTTCATTTTTAGAGACCAGGAGAAAGAAATGTGTTGGTCCTCCCTTCACCAAGTAAACCAAAATGTTCTTTTTCGAGGATCAAAGCAAAGAGATCTCGTTTCTTAGACACACCTGTCCCTAGCTGGATGATTTCAGTTCCTACAAAGTTCTTTTGGTACCTCCACAGGTAGGAGCTCTGAGCTTCTCCTCACCTTGACGGATGTCTCCCCCATGGAGTCCACAGTACGGAGGTCAGAGTGAGCTCTCTCTGAAGTCTCACCCAGCAGGCTGAAGAGTCTCTCCTCCCCATCCAAAAGGTGGGGAGGAAGGAAAGTGCCATGTCAGCTGGCACCAGGTACTATCTAAAGCTGGAATTTATTTTAAACAGGCTATTATAAGAAGGCTCACTTGGAAAAATATTGTGCCAGAAGCAGTATTTTGCAAGTA